TAATATTTCAGTCGAGCAGTTTTTGTTTTGAATTCTAGTCAAATGATAGATCGTTCATTCATTGCATTACTGAAGGAATGAACCGAATGATTTTGACATTTGAAATAAATTTAACTAGCAGTATGCTAGTAAACCCATAAGATCGGGTTTAATTTTTCTGTGTAAATTTAACTCGTTCTGCAAGTCGGTGGTTAATTACCGTGTCTGTATTCATGCATGACCGATCTATTGTACATCTGTCGTCATTGGAGTTGGATTGTAGTTAAACATTAGATAGGATAGGTCATTTTCTTTGTTCATTCGACGGTATGATGAATGAATGAGTGAACCATCTGCTCTTTAAATGCGCTTAAAATTGTATAATATTCTGCTTAAATATTGGATTATCTTTTAATTCATTCACAGATATAGAATGAGTGACTTAACACAAGTAAGCGTTTACTCCATTGGATTGTAATTACACAGTAGATCGCCCTTTGCTCGTTTTACTGTATAAATGAACATCGTTCACTCGATTCATTCAATGCGTAATCAATGGATAAACTACTATTTAATTGGAACTCAGAAATATGCTATTCGACGTAAATGGTATATAATTCGTCCAATATATCGTTGAATTAATAAACTCTACGAAGGATGTGTAAATGTATAAACGATGCTCTACTTTTAGCTGGAATTCCATTTGCTGTAAATTGCAGACAACATTTTAGAAATTTCATTCTTTTGATGACGCAAATCATGCACCATCCAGAGCTATAGTTTAACTGCAGATGAAAGCAAGCTGATTTCGGCTTAAATATTAGACCACTCATTCATCAAATCACACACGGAATGAACTTGTCAATAATAGAGTAATATTCTGGTTCAAATAAGTGACCGGATTTTGTGAAAACCTTAGTTTTTATCCTAGCACTTTCTTCGTTATGATTTTCGCCTTGATTTTTTGTAGGTTAGGATTGAGGATTGCAGGGGATGGCAGAGGCTCACTTACCTTGATGAATTCACCGATGTAACAAATTGTATTATGTCCATTTTCAGCGACCTTCTGAGCTGTTGATGTATGAGAATACAATATTTGATTCAAAACTGATTAACATTAGTTCGTTTATAGACCCGTTTCATTGGGCATGGCTAAAACAAGCCCGTACGCCTTTCAGCGATGAGACACGTGCTTTCATTCTGCCACGTGCAGAGGACTTGGACTTTGTTATGGAGCTGTGCGATGAACTCAGAAAGCTATTTGAAGTAAGATGATTACTTTTACCTGATTTTGATTTTGTTTATAAATAACTCAGTAACCGGAACGTTTATATCAAGGTCATAGGGGTTTTTATTCTGCGTTTTGCCGAGATTTAGACGGAAAATGCCTAAATCTTGTAATTTTCCTAATATATGTGAATCTGGGGTATATAGAGTGCTGAAATGCTGCCATATTTAATCCATGATGGTTTGTTTTCTTTTTCTCGATAATTGCAGCATCGCCCTGTAACTGAACCAAATTCGCAGTTTTACTCAATGCTGTGTAGCGTTTTTCTGTAACCGCAGATAAACGACAGGTATATGCTGTTATCACTTGACTCAGTCGTGAAACATTCTTAGTTTTGTCAGTTAATATTACTTTCATGATCTCGTAATGGACCTTCATTCATAATCGCCATCACCATTTTCATAATCGTGTTCTTCTTCGCAACCTTTATTGTCACGTGTGTTAATGGTTGTCCATAGTCATTTGCACCATTTTCTTTCTGTGAAACGTAATCTTCGTCATTCTGTTCACTATCATCGCCGCCTTCAACTCAACCGGTACCTGATTTGTCAGCATCATTACTCTCTTCACTGTTATTATTACCTTCGTCGTCATCACTGTGATTGCAGTCGGGACCGTCGTTATCGTAGTTACTATATTTATGTTTACGATAAATTATCACTGCTTTCATCATTATTACCATC